GCTGCAAATACTTAGCAGAGGTTCTGAAATGGCTACGCTGACACAATTTGACAGGAATAATATCATAGTTTTACACCAACACGAGGATAATTTAAACATCATTTTCTTTGTCTGCCTAAGACTTTTGCACAGTACTGTATATATAAATTTTGTGTCCCCTGACAAAATGTCAACTTAAATAAAATGTACAAGTTTTTTATGTTGCTGTGAAAAGTAAAAAAAAATGGTAACAGTTGTTGCTAGTTACTGCTTCTGCTATTATCAGTGAATGATACCTGATCTTTGTTGCCAGCACTTGAGCCTTCACTTAAAGACCTCAAATATCAATATGGGCATTCCCAAGGTCCCTTCTCAGTGCTTCTGTCCAAATACAGTGTGTCCTGTTTCAATCTGAATCCCAGCTGAATATCGAAGTCACCATAAAGTTTCACCTTTTGTCCATCCATCCATTTTCTGTAACTGCCTGTTCAGTCCAGAGCCTATGCCAGAGGCTTCGGAAACAGCCCAGGATGGGGCGCCAACCCATCACAGGACACACACACACACACACACACACACACACACACACAAACACACTTACAGGCAATTTGGTAACCTACCTGAACCCCCCCCCCCAAAGACATGGCCTTGCTCAAGGACCCCCAGCTCCCTGGGCACCGCTACGGGTGGCTGCCCTTCACAGACAATTTACTCTATGAAACAGAGCAAGTTGAGGGAGGCGTAAAGACAATTTCCCCACAGGGATCAATAAAGTATCAATTATTATTATTATTATTATTATTATTATTATTGTTGTTTACAATATTGAATATTGAGGGGGCACAAATAATGTAGTAGTATACACTTACTTAATGCATTAATTAACCAGTAACAAAGTGTTAATTTATGTACTGATCCCATGTTCATTCATCATTAATCAATCATGCCGGTTCATGTATTTCATGCAAGAAGTATATTTCCTAAGTTCATGATTTCTTGTTGAGTAGTAACTGAGTAAGTTTTTTGTGCCCCCTGAAGAAAAATGTTACCATATATTGTACTGTTTTCTTTTTCAAGTATTTATAGAAAAATACAATGTCAAACAATACGAAACAACCTAGTTTCCAGCAAGTACACTTAGGCCCAATCCCAATTCTACCCTTTACCCCTACACTTACCCCTTCTCTTTTGATTGGAGGGGAAGGGCTAGATAGCCCTCGAAACGAAGATTTTTCAGGACCT